CCGCACACAGCGGCCACACGTGCCATTGACCAGGGTCCCCAGGTCCTGGGCTGGCCTCGGAGGGGAGCTTCCAGGGCTGTCCTCTGCAGAGGGCTCTTGAGAGCCGATCTGGGCTGAGACCCTCGTGACCTGGGCCTGGTCCCCGAGGTCGGCCTGGGCACTCGGGGGCCTGTCGTCCTGGCCCTCGGGTGGACCGCAGCCATCGGTGGCACCATCTGCAGCCTTGCGCTGCAGAGAGATCTGCACTGAGGAGCTGCGGGTGGGCCTGGCATCCACCCCAGCCAGGAGTTGCGGGATGAACATGGATGAGCTGCGCTTGAGCGCGCCCACGCCCTCCTGCAGGCCGCTGCCGTCCTCCGCTCCGTTCTGAGCGAAGGGGTGCGGGCCGCTCCTCCTCGGGAGCGTGTGGAATGCCATGAAAAAGTCCTCTTCTCTCTCCTGGTCTAGGATCTCGGACTCGGGGGCCGTGTTGCTGCGACCAGAGCCAAAATGAAACCGAAGCCGATGGGCCATGGTGACCAGGGGGGCCGGGAGGGTGAGGGCGAACGACAACAACACGCCCGGTACTGCCAGAAGTCAAAACCCAAAGACACCAACTCCAAGAAAAAGTGTCCCATCTGCCAAACTGTTAGCACTGCGGCACCAAGAGCGACAGATAGCAGAAATAGCCCAAGTGGCAAGCGGCATTCCAGGCATGATTGGATAAGAGCAAAAAGCTCTCATCTACCCTGTGACAGAGGGTAGGATGGCCAGAGACACATGACCACTCGCTCCCGCTCCAATGCCAGCTTGTGGACTTACTGAAGTTTCCCCTCTCTTGCTTTTTCCCCCCTCTGTTCAGAGCAAGAGCCTGAAACAGCACCTTCCCAGCTGCCGCGGTTCTGTCAGAAAGGGACGGCCCAGCAGGGAGCTCAGGCAGCTGACTGGGGCAGCAAACACACTCCCAGCCAGCCATGCTGCTGTAAATCTGACCCATCACACTCACGGGGCATTGCAAAGCCCTGGGACTCTCTCTTTCTTCAGCCCTTGCCAGGGACCCTGCGTTAAACACAAACGTCCACCCGTATGCCCCCCCCCACCTCCCTACCAAACCAAAGAACAAGTAAAATACAGCTTGGCTGTTGGGAAAACCTTGTCAGAAGCCTCAGATGTTATGTTTCTGTTATGCTATCACTACACCACCATGGCGGAAAGCAAACTCATAAAACTACTATAAATATGATCACACGCCCCACTGAATTAGTGTCTCTTTAATAGGAAATAATTAGACCATGATCTACAAGTAACAAAATAGCCAAGTGGAGACACAGTGGGGCACAACACTGTACAACCAGTTAGGGGCCTGGTCTACTTGGCCTCTGGCTACTTACTATAAACATTCTTCATTTAAGGGGGGCAGAGAGGGTGTGCATCTAATATGATTGTCAGTCACAGAAGAAGCAGGAGAAAGGGACCCAGCTGGAGAAAACATTCTCTCTCATGTGCCAGGTAGGAGATACATATGCACATGTGCGTGCACACACACACACACACACACACACACACACACACACACACACACACACACGGGAAACTGTGTAAGTAGTTTTTGCAGTAATTTAACTTAAATACCATAACTAAGAAATGCTGCCTGGCCCTGACTGCTTTCCAATGAGAAGTCAGCAGGATCACCACAGCTGGGATAGAAACCCAAAATCCTGTGTTTGCAATGAGCCAAAAAAGACCTGAGAAATAAAAGTGCATGCCCGAAAAACTGTCATTGGATTTGAGTTAAGTTGGAAATAGTCTCTGTGTTTTGAATGTACTGTTTTTTATGATCCAGAAACATCAGTTCTTCAACAAAGAGATATATTTAGAAGGGACTTTAA